GCTAGAAACAGGAAAGAGGATTTTCACTAGCAGGCAGTTGAGTACATATAGCAAACCCTAATTCGGGCTGTACTCGCTATTCTTAGAAGCTAGGCATGAATGGAGTTCAGTATCGAGAGAATTGGTACAAGGAGGAAACCCTAAGGGGTTATACCCCACAGTATCTACCCCACTACAGTCTACCCACAAATATAACATATGCATATGTTTGACACACCCCCATAGGCAAAGTGGGGGAGAGCAAGAGGTCAAAAGACCAGTCAAGAAAAGCAAAGCAAGCTCAGGGTGGATCACAACGTCACCACACACACTGAGCACAAGCAAAAGGCCACAAGGCCAGTTCACATGCAGAGGTATATATGCAGCAAGAACAGTACAGTGATCTCTACCTAGCAAGAGCAAGCATGCAGGTATATATACATATAGATCACAGTACAAGCAGAGTCTACAGCAAGTGTGGAAACGTAGGCACAAGACCCAACAAAGTCCAAAAGCGCTGATGATCACCAGACGGAAGTGCCTTGGTGAATATATCAGCAGTGTTGGCCCGAGTGGCCACGTGAGCAAGACGAAGCTGACCCCGCTGCTGCAACTCTCGAGCCAGGAAGTAACGCAGGGCGATGTGCTTCGTTCTATGCTCCAGTCTGTGCTCCTGACACAAGGCAATGGCTGCCTTGTTGTCGCCGTACAGAACACGAGGCCTCTCTCCCAAGTCAATCAGCAGGTAGGTAAGCCAGCGTAACTCCTGTGTAGCCATGGCTGTGGCGTAGATCTCAGCCTCACAACTGGAGCCGAGAACAGAAGACGAGTGAGTAGACCGCCAAGAAACAGAGCCAGAGCCAACACTGAAGGTGTAACCCTGTGACGACCGCTGCGTAGCCTGGTCGTCAACCCAAGAAGCGTCCGAGTGACCAGTGAGGACAACGTCGCCCCGTCCTCCAAGCACGAGCCCCATGCCTGATGTACTGCACAAGTAGCACAGTACCCTCTTAACAGCATCCATGTGCACCTTTCGGTGCCGACCAGGAGCCACGTAGCGAGCCAGAAGGCCAAGAGGGTACGCAAGGTCAGGACGAGTGCAGGTCATCAGGTACATGAGGCAGCCAACTAGCTCTGTGTAAGGACCACTCGGCTCTACGGACTCGTCTGAAAGGTGGAGCTGAGAGCGAGTGACCTGTAGCCAGAGGAGTGGCCTGTGCCGAGGACCAGGTGAAGCCGAAGCGCTGAAGGACCTGCTGCACCATGTGTGACTGAGTCAGTGTGATGGTGCGGCGTGCTCTGTCCCGGGTGATCTGCAAGCCAAGGTAGTTGCGCAGCTCACCCAGGTCTGTGCACGTGTGTCTCTTCTGCAGCTCCGACTTCATCAGAGCGAGAGCCTCAGTGTCAGCAGTGGCAAAGACCAAGTCGTCAACGTACACGAGGATGTAGAACGGCGGCAGCGAAGTGTCGGTGCGCAGAAACAGCAACGGGTCAGCAGTTGAAGGAGCAAACCCAAGAGCCGCAAGTGTCGTCCTCAGTGTGTCGTGCCACTCACGTGGCGCCTGGCGGAGACCGTAGACCGGCCGCCGGAGGCTCCACTGGGTACCAGGAGGGAACGACCCAGTGAAGCCAGGCGGGCGGCGCAGCCAGATCTCTTCGTGCAGGCTGCCCTGTAAGAAAGTTGTGCTGAAGTCAAGAGAGTGAAGCTCGTAGTCACGATGAGCGGCAACGTGCAGCAGCACCCGAAGAGTGGTCATCTTCGGGGTGGGGGAGAAGGTTTGGAAGAAGTCAACTCCCTCACGCTGACTGAAGCCTCGAGCAACGTAACGAGCCTTGAAGACAGGCGGAGAACCTGGCGGCCGCTTCACCTTGAAAATCCACATGCAGTCGACGATGTTCGCCCCGGGAGGGGGAACCTCATCGACGTAGGTGTCTGTGGACTTCCAGGATGCCATCTCTGCGTCCATGGCTGTCTGCCACTGAGAAGAGTACTCACCCGCGATCGCCTCAGCGTAAGAGCGCAGGGTCGGGATGTCTGGTGCATCCGGGTCTCCTTCAGGGGCAAGCAGCATGGCCACGAGGTGAGGCGCAGCGGCCGCAAGACACTCAAGGTCCTCGTGCCTGACCTCAAGGACGTCCGTGCTAAGAGCACACTCACCCCCGAAGGACGGAGGACAGACAGACTCAGACTTAGCAACAAGACTAGCAGCGTAGTCTAGACGACAGGCAGCAGCAAAGTCGACAAGCTCAGTGACTAGGGCAGACGTAGCAGTGGACTCAAACGACGGGTCAGTGACCACGGTGGCTAACAGACGCGTGACAGTAGGGTGCTTAGTACGAAACTGGTCAGACTCAGGGTCCGCAACGTCAGGCAGAGAGGACGCAGGGGGAGAAGGCAGAGGAACACGCTGCGGAGGAGAGGAAGGACGACGGACTACAAGGTGGGTGCCGGGGACCGCTGGCTGACGCGGACAAGGAACACGGCGACCGGAACGACTGGAACGGACAGGCGAGACAGGACGCGACGCATGCTCACGACGCTCAGCAAGGCCCCCTGTCTGCTCAGTGTAAGGAGAAGGAGCAGGCAGCGGCGGGCCAGGCTGTAACGGAAGACCAGTAGACGAAGGGAGACTGAGAACCTGGCGAAGCGCAGAGTCAGGCGGTGGCTGAGACGACGGAGACGGCGGAGCGAAGAACAGGCACGGCTGTGCAGTGCCACCAGCACCAGCAGCTCCAGCACCTCCAGCAGCTCCAGTACCCTCAGCATCTCTAGCACCTCCAGCAGCTCCAGAACCCTCAGCAGCTCCAGCACCTCCAGCAGCTCCAGTACCCTCAGCAGCTCCAGCACCTGCAGCAGCTCCAGAACCCTCAGCGCCAACTCCTCCAGGACCAGCTCCACCAGCTGCAGCACCCCCAGAACCGAGACAACCCTTGCTCTAGACAACCCCGACATGTTTCGAGACTCGAGAGGGGGAGGCCGTGGGGGCAGGGGAGGCGGAGGGGGAAGAGGAGGGGGAGGGGGGTACGGTGGGGGGGATCCGTATCAGCAGGGAGATGGGGGCGGAGGGGGGTATGGGGGTGGGGGCGGGTATGGGGGTGGGGGTGGGTATGGGGGTGGAGGCGGTGGGGGGAGAGGGGGAGGGGAGAGGCGGCAGGCAGCAACGGATGATCTTATATTGGAGCGGTTTAGGAAGCGGGAGAGGAACCGAGCCATGCGGCGGTAGTGCTGCTTGTGTTGCTGGTGGTACTGGTGGTCCTAGGGTGGAGAGGTGGCGTGGGTACACTGGTGGTGGGGATAGGAGCAGCAGGCAGCATCGGATGATCTTATATTGGAGCGGTTCAGGAAGCGGGAGAGGAACCGAGTTATGAGCCCGTAGTGCTGCTGGTGATGCTGGCGATGCTTGTGGTGCTAAGGTGGAGAGGTGGGGTGGTTACGGCAATGGTAAGGACAGAAACAGCAGGCAGCAACCGATGGTCTTATTCTGGGGCCGTTCAGAAGGCGGGAGAGGAACCGAGCCATGCGGCGATGGCGCTGCTGGTTCTGCTGGTGGTGCGAGGGTAGGGAGGTGGTGTAGGTACAGTGGTGGTGGGGACAGGAGCAGCAGGCAGAAACGGATGATCTTGTGTGGGGGAGGTTCAGGAAGCGGGAGAAGATCCAAGTCATGCGCCAATAGCATGTGCTTGCTCGCCCTTCTGCTGCTGCTGCTGCCAGTGGTCCTAGTGTTTCTCGGTGCTGCCAGCGCTTTGAGTGCCGCCGCTGCTACTGGTGCTACCAGCGAAATGACCCGATTTGTGACCCATCCGCAGCACAGTTGTGAGACGTCTCGGAAAAGGAACTTCTTCATTCATGCCTCACGGCATGGCACTACGCAATGCAGTTGCCCTGATCCTCTTCCATCAATGATGCCTAGGCCTCTTGTCCATTTGTGAAGCACCTTGTGCCAGTTCGACGTGTGAGTTCCACTGCAGGGGCCGCTTGCCGCATAGTGCACTGTTTGGCAGGAGTACTGAGCACTGATGGGTATTCTGTATGTACATATTCTGTGGTGACTACAGTGACTGTGTAGTCCATCACACAACCTAACACTCCCAAGTCTCAAGCCAATCACTCGTGCCTTGCTTATCTTGATCCTCTAACCCAGTCCCACACACCCCAAACCAAGTGTAGTGGTATGTATCCCAAAACTTTCAAAAGAAATTATGAAAGAAAGCAATTTTCCCTCCCTACGCTGCTTGACAATTCGACACCACACTGTGACACCATTAGCATACCTTTGGTTGGCGTTTCCTTGTTGTTGCATTTTACAGACAAGGAAATGGACAACTACAGTGAATACCATATTCACTTAAAACGATTGGCAAAATTTGTAGAAGCTAAGAACCAAAACCCTCTGGAGTAGTGGCGTATCTAAACCCATACCTCTCGCATGCTAAGCGAGCGCTCTACCATCTGAGCTACATGCCCGTGATAAATAATTGCTTTCAATTTTAAAATCTTATTTATGGAGGTTGCTTCTGTCTGCAACGATTGGTGGAGGTGTTACCTGCGCCTCCAAATTTCGAGATTCTGGGTCATGCATTGCCTGAGACACCTGCGCTTCGAAATGTGGATGGATTCCGAATTGAAATTCCAAATTGTTAGACAGAGGCCGCGCCGCACTAGAATGTGCGTCACTCAACCAATCCCCATTCAGGAACTGCAATGCGTGCAAGTGCATGTCCACATATAAAATTGTTTCCTCAATTGTTAGGGAAATTCCTCCTCGTGTCAGACACGAAGTGGAGGTTTGGATGGAGGTTCGGAAGACCCGAAGTGGCCCACTTCGGGTCTTCCGAACATTGATTTGCCAGAGTTCCGGCTCACTTCGGGTCTTCCTCAACTTCACTTCGTGTCGACCTCATGTCAGACACGAGCCAAGAATGCACCCTTAGTTGAGCAATTCAGTGCTCATCTCTTCCCCGCCGATTATTCAAATCAAAACTCAGCAGTTTCCCTCTCCTCGCACCCATAGTTGGTCAGAATGGCTCGACCTGCGCTTTTAGCACTCTCCCTCACGCTTCTCCTCGCCGTCGCGAGTGCTGGAAGTCCCCTCACGAGCTCCTCTGCAAATGCTAAGCCCGACGCGAATGGAAAGAAAGACGACGGTCTCATGACCGACATTCCCAAGGACATCGCGAAGCAGGTTGCGGCAGGTACCGCGGCTGGTGTTACGTACGTGGATACCGCGCAGGACACATTCTTCATGGCTGAAGTGAAAAAGGCCGGATGGAACGCGCAGAAATGCCCGCCGGGATTAAACAAGGAGCTTGCGGGCGCATGTACTGCAAAGAATTGCTCCAAGGGCGGGATTGCAGCTAAGTGGAAGACCTCTTACCTGCAGAAAAACAAGCTCGGATTCGAGCTGTACGTGCCGGGTAATCCGCTGACTCTTCTCAAGGCGAATCCCGCGTCGTGTTGCAACACCTGCGCCGCGATGCCGCTTTGCACCTACTGGCAGTACATCCCCGATATAACCATCGACGGGAAGAAGGGCAAAGGCGCGTGCTATCTGATTCACGATCAGATCGACTTCTCCTGCGGAGAAATGACCGCGCAGTACAACACGGAAACGAAGCCCGTCCACCTGCAAGTGCGCATCGGCGGCGAGTGCAACCCGAACCCGAAAATCCTCAACGACCCGCATCTGGTCGGCGCGCACGGCACGCATTTCGACTTCAACGGCCGGCCCGACAAGGCGTTTTGCCTGCTGACCGACCGAAACCTGCACGTGAACATGCTGCTGCGTGGGTATTATGACGAGAGGACGGATAACTCCGCGGCTGCCGTGGTTGACGGGAAGGCGGTGCACACGTGGATCAAGGAGCTCGGCATTGTTTGGACTGCTGCGGGTGTGGATCATAAGTTCCGACTCGCGGCGCGCAGCGGCAAGCAGCAGGAGCGCGGCGATGGATTCGTGAAGGAAATCGAGATTGACGGCGCCGCGATTCCGCGCATGCAGGTCGGCGACAAGGTTACCAGCGCCGGCGGTCTGACACTCGAATTCCGCGGCTTGGAGAAGGAGGGACCGTTCGATGTGGATTACTATTTGCTCTCGATCGACGGGTTAATTACCCTTGACCTTCGCCTTCGCGTAGCGCATCCGAAATTGCAGACTCCAACCGAAGCCGAGGCGCACATCAACGTCGGGATTGCCGAGCTCGAGCACACGGAGGAGATTCACGGCGTGCTCGGGCAGACGTACCGCGCGGATCACGCCGCGCGCGCCGCGGATTTCCAGCGCCTCGTCGCGAGCATGCACCGTCCGATCTCCGCCGATGGCGCGGAGGGAGAGGGGTTTCTGGATGGAACTCCCCGGTCGTACGAGGCAAGTGATGTGCTTGCTGTGGATTGCGCTTATACCGCGTATGGCCGCGCCAGGAAGGTGATGCCCGTGCAGGAATTCCCCTAAAATAGCTGACATAGGTGACTGTATTGTATTGTACGGTGGGCTGGTTTCTTCAGTGGGCTGGTTGATCTAGTGGGATATTATTTGGTGGCTGTGACTGTTGTTTTCTTCAGTAACTGTGCTGTATGGTGGGCTGGGTCTGTTGTTTTCACTTGGTGAACTTTCTGTGAATTAGAGTGGGCTGTGTTGTTCAGTTGGCTGTTATTTTCAGTGAGACGTTTCTTTGTTGTTTCTCAGTCGACTGCTTCTTCTTGTTTCTCAGTGGGCTGTTTTTCTGGTTTCTCAGTGGGCTGTTTTTCTGGTTTTTCAGCGGGCTGCTTTTCTTGTTTCTCTCAGTGGGCTGCTTTCTTGTTTCTCAGTGGGCTGTTCTTGTTTCTCTCAGTGGGCTGTTTTTCTATGTGGGCTGTTTTTCTTGTTTCTGAGTGGGCTGCTTTTCTTTTTTCAGTGGGCTGGCCAATGTGTGGTTTCCTATGATGCAGCCAATTTAGGCCAAGTTTTCCGGTGACTGTCATCATGACGCTTGTTTGAATTCAGTTTATTTTGACAAATGCTTTCAAACACGAAAACCTGCACCTAGGTCACAAAACTATGCTCACAACCAAAAACTGCCAGGGTGCAGCTTGTCTCCAAGCCAATCCCATTTGCTAATGAATCATCAGTTCTGATAAGAGTCGAGACTGGGAGCAGGCATGTTATTCTTGCCAGTGTTTGCAATTGGAGACGCAATAAAGCACCATATTCAGTGCCGCTCTTGCAGCCTACAGCAGCCGCGCCTCTGGAGAATCTCCCAATCCAATGCTCCTGCCGCCGGAATTGGAGTAACAATGGAAACAGTTGGCAGCACCGCAGTCGAAACTGCTGCTACCTTGTCAGACATGACATTGTTACTGCTGCTTTTTTCGTTTTAAGCAAGACCTTCGGTAACAGAAGCAAGGAGGGGTGGGAAAGTGGGGATACAGGGAAGAGGGAAGAGAGGGCAGGGATGAGAGGGGAGACAGGAAGATGGGAGAGAGAGAAAGGAAGGAGGTTGGACGAGGGAGGAGAGGGCAGGTGGGAAAATCCTGGACAGGGAAAGTGGAAACAGAGGGGAGGGAGGGTATGCAGAGGGGTGACGGAGCACATGGATGGGGGAAACTGAGGGCACGTAGGGGAAACTGGGGGGAAGAATGGGGGAAAATGAGGGGAAGCAGGGGGAAACAAAGAGCAAGCTGAGGGGAAACTGGGGGTAAGCAAAAACGAAAATGAGGGTAACGAGGGGGGGAAATGAGGGGAAGAATGGGGGGACGTGAGGAGAAGCAGAGGGAAAAATGAGGGGAAGCAGGAGGGGGAAGATGCGAAGCAGGGAGGGATATGCGGGGAAGCAGGGGCGGAATTGAGGTGAAGCAGGGGGGAAACAGAGGGGAATCATGGGGGCGGAATTAGGGAGAACAGGGGAGGGAATGAGGGAGAACAGGGGAGGGAATGAGGGGAAGCATGGGGGGCAAATGATAGGAAGCGGTAACGAGGGGAAGGGAGGAGGGGGGGGGGGGGGATGAGGGGAAACAGGGAAGGGAATGAGGGGAAGCAGAGGGGGGGGGATGATAGGAAACAGGGGAGTAACGAGGGGAAGCGGAAGAGAAAATGAGGGGAAGCAGGGGGGGAACTGAGGGGAAGCATGGGGGCGGAATTAGGGAAGACAGGGATGGGAATGAGCGGAAGCACGGGGGGAAAATGATAGGAAGCAGGGGGGGTAACGAGGGGAAGCAAGGGGGGGGGGGGAAATGAGGGGAAACAGGGAAGGGAATGAAGGGAAGCAGGGGGTGGGAAATGATACGAAGCAGGGGGGTAACGAGGGGAAGCAGGGGCGGAAACGAGGGGAAGCAGGGGGGGAAACGAGGGGAAGAAAGGGGGGGGAATGAGAGGAAGCAAAGGGGAGAACTAGGGGAAGAACGGGGGGGAAACGAGAGGGGGGGAAACGGGGGGGAACAAGGGGGGAAAAATGAGGGGAAGTAGGTGGGAAATGTGTGGAAGATGGGGGGGAAATGAGAGGAAGCAGGAAGAGAAACGAGGGAGGGGGGAAACAAGAGGAAGCAGGGGGGGGAATGAGGGGACGAAGGGGGGGAAATGAGGAGACGCAGGAGGGAAATGAGGGGATGCAGAGGGGGAAACGAGGGGAAGAAGGGGGGTAAATGAGGGGAAGCAGGAGGGGGAATGAGGCGAAGCAGATGGGGAAATGAGGGGATGCAGGGTGGAGATGAGGGGAAACCGCCTTTGGAAGGATGGGCAACAAAAGAGGGGAGAGGGATGTGGGGGATAGTTCTTTTAAGATTACGCTCACAGCCTTGGAGGGATGGGCAAGAAAGGAAAGAGGGGGAGGGGGGGGGAAGAGAAGGGGGGGAGGAGTGGGGTGGGGGATGTGGGGGGGAGTTCTTTAAGATTTCGCTTACAGCCTTGGAGGGATGGGAAGGGAAGGTAACAAGAGGGAATGGAAGGGCAGAGAAGGGAGGGCAAGGGATGGGCAGGTGAGAAAAGAGCAGGTGAGAGAAGGGCAGGGGAGGTGGAGGCGCGACGAGGCGCAGCGCAACGAGGGTGCGGGCGCGTTGAAGGGAGGGGACGCGCGAAGAGAGGAGCCGCGACTAGGGGAGGCGCGACGAAGGGAGCGGAGGAGCGCCGAGGGAAGGGGCGGCGCGACGAGGGCGCCGGCACGACGACGGGAGGCGAACATTACAAGGGCTGCGTGCCGAAGGGGTGGCGCGACGATGGGAGGAAGGGCGCGACAAGGGGAGGCGCGACAAGGAGAGGCGCGAACAAGGAAGCGCAACGAGGGGAGGGGAAGCTCGATGAGGAGAGAGGAGGCGCGATGAAATTAGGGGAGGCGCGACGACTTGAGGCACTCAGAGGTGCGTGGGCAGGCGTGTTAAAGTGGCCTCACTCACCCTCGCCACCACAACGACTAGTTTGTGTACACGCTTGTAGAGTTCCCTAAAGCCTTCGTATCTCCTACTGCGAATGCGCTTTTGGGATTGTTGATCAGAATAGCTGCTTTTCGCGATCTGAACGTAGATCATAGCTCTAACACAACCCCCCGGTATGAGCAGATCCGCAACACTTGGTTGAGTTCGCACATGAGAAATTGTTTTGCAGAATTTTGTTACCAACCGTTAGCAAATGTTCACCTTCCAGTTGGTTTATTTGCATTGCGAAACTAGGGCATTTAGGTCGAGCCCAACTTAACGGTTCAGAAAGGTTTCATAAGGTGTAGAGCAGGCTTCACCTGCACCGTGGTACAACATATTTGTACCGCAAAGAACGTATACAAGCTGGAAGCTCCCTTATCTTCAAGGTACCAGTCATGGACCACGCTGACATCAGCAGGCTCGATTATAGTACAGCACTCAGGAGATATTTCAGGAACAGCTTTACCTTGATTGGTTCCGAAGAGTTTGGGTAGTCGGAGGCCCTCGCGTGTGAAAATACAAGTGCACCAGTAACACTAGTTCTCGGCCCTGAAAGGCGCTTTGGCCCTGGAAAGGGCCTATCCGTCAATCTTCCAATGGCCCTGCCATTGTGCCGCATGCTCCTCTCGGTCGGCAGAGAGTGCTTGGAGTGGCGGAATGGGAAACTAGGGTAGTGGCGCAAGGCATGGGGGAAAAAGAGAAGAAGGGCGAAGGAATTGGCTGCATGGTGTTCAGTTTGCTGAGCAAGGCACTAGAAGTGCCCAGTCCCTTTGCCGCTACGACCAGCATTTCGATCTTTTTTTTCCAGTACTATTTCCAGTACTATTACTACTGGGGTAATACCTGTCATCATGGCGCTCCGTCTCGTCTCACGGCTCTTTCACATCATCGTACTGCTCCTCGCCGTTGCGTCGCTAACGCTCATCGACTACGCAAACGCCTCCGCAATAGTCGTCGGCGGATATACAGAGTTTGATAACGGAACCATTGTGGATTCCAATGGAGCCGTCGTGACACCCACCAAGAACCCGGATGGGTCTGAAACCCTAGGAAGCTACACTTCCTACCCTAATAAAACTCTTGTTGGCCCCAACGGCGTGATGTATGCTAAACGCGCCGACGGTGCGACCGTTTTTGGCAACACAGTTTTCTACACTAATGGCACCGTCACAGATCTTGCTGGGAACCCAGTTCGACCTGTGTCTAACGCGGATGGCTCGGTGACTGTAGGGGACGTGACTATGTGGAAAAATGGCACCATGTCTGGCTTGGGCGTGGTAGTTCACACTGGGGACTATAACCCCCCTAAGAAAGATGCTTCCACCTCTCCAGTCAAGCTTGGTACAGTAAAAATTTGTGCTTTCTATCACACCTTTCACTTTTCCCTTCGTGTTTCCCTGATTTCTTCTATTTCGTCTTTTAATTCCTCCTGTGAGTACCGGGGGTACTGAATACTACTGTTTCTTGTCATGCTTCTCCCTTTGGCAGGCTACCTTGCCACTGCCATCACCATGGCTGTTGGTTTTGCTTGGCTGGTTGCATGATTGACCGCACACGCGCATTCGCTGGAAAGACTACTACTACAGTCATACCGTATGTTTATGTAAGAAGGCTCGTGGGGACAGACAGAGCCAATGTGTGGGGGTTTCTTATTGTAATTCTACGGCGTTTGTAGCATGTTCGGTAAGGAAGCACAGAAAAGGGGTACCTGATTGAGGTGCATGCCTTTGTTTGCATATGGCTGGTATCGACACTTACTGCAGAACCAATATGTTTAACAGGCTGAGTGCCTGTGGTGTTAATCAGCGCCAGACCCACACAGTCCAGCTGCCAGCCCCATAGAGCCTGGTGTTTGAAAGGTACCAGACTTACCTGGCAAATCATACACATCACAGACCTGCTGCTGTTGATAGATAAATGGGCTGCTCCTACTGAGATGGTTAATTTGTGAGTGATAGAAAAATGTAGAACATTCACAATGCAAGTGTGCATTTTGTTACAACATTTGTTGAGCTGAAACACACTTTATTCCACATCTACAAGCGAAGTGCATCGCCTACGAAAGAACGGCTCAAGCAGCTGATTGGCTTCCAGTCATGTTGGACTTAATACCAGTACACTTCACGTTTCTTTCGTAACTGACATCAGTTCTTCCGCATCTACAAGGGAGGAGCATCGTCCACGAATGGCTCAAGCAGCTGATCAGCTTCCGACGTTGCAGATGACTCCACAATAACGGCCGAGTCTGTTGGCTCCACCACTTCCTCGTCTTGGTTGTAGCTCGTAACGGCGTAGAGTGATGAAACTATCTGCAGGGGGGAAGCAAGAATAGGGAAAAGCGTGGGGCGAGATCAGGTCAGAAGAAGATTTCACAAAGTAACGGCCAAGTCTGGTGCTGGTGCCTTCACCACTTGGTGATCTTGATAGCTTATCAAGGAATAGATTGATGATACGATCTGCACAGGGGAGACAATGGCAAAGAATGGTAATGGCAGGTCAGAAGGATATTCCAGACAGTTGACTTATGAGTCTTGATTGTAGCTCTAACGGTGTAGAGTGATGAAGCAATCATCAAGATCAAACGTAGATTAATGAAGTGATTTGCAAGGTGGCAGGTTAGAAGGGTAGTGAGGTGTGGGTGTGGGTGTGGGCGTGGGTGTGGGTGTGGGCGTGGGCGTGGGTGTGGGTGTGGGTGTGGGCGTGGGCGTGGGAGTGGGTGTGGGTGTGGGCGTGGGCGTGGGTGTGGGTGTGAGTTTGGGTGTGAGTGATGCATTAAACAGCGAGGGTACTGATTCACAAAATGAGGAACAACGGGTATGAGGGAGAACTGAGGTGATGGAGGCGGCGGGTGGGAGAATGGGGGGGGGAGATTGGGGTGGCTGGGCGTAGGGGAGGGGAGGGGAGGAGCGAGAGGGGGGGAACAGCACGATGACCAACACCCCACAGGTGCTCAGCAGGACCCACAACAATCAGTTAGTGTGCACGCGGGGGGGGGGGGGAATGGGAGGAGGAAGGTTTTTGAGTCGACTCAAGAGGAGGGAGGGAGGCGGAACAGCATGATGCTGAACGCCCACAGGTACTAAGCAGGTCCCACTACAATCAGTTAGTGTACACCAAGGTTAAAAAATACGACCGTATTTTTGAAAATTTACCGTAAATTACGGTATCGTAATTTACGGTCGTAAATTACGGTAAAAAACGGTTTGACGTTGCAAAATTAGGTTGGTTCAAAAATACGGTCGTAAATTACGACCGAAGTTTGAAACCGAGTTTGTGTATAGCGAATTTCAACATTTCCCAACCGTCAACCTGTTCGTGAGAATTTTTGTGGCCCCAAACCCACTCGAGAGTGTTTTTTTCCCGAGTCGTGAGTGTCAGCAAAATCTCGAGGCGCGACATTGTGCATTTTGGTGACAGTTTAACAGGTTTGTTGCCCATTCGCACATTCGTTTGTGTATTTCGCCGAATCGCAAATGTACAAATTTGTGCGATGTGGCAAATTGTACATTTGGCGAACGGATAACACAAGTCTACCCGTTTCGCCAAGTCGGTGGGTCGTTTCGCGGCCCGTTCGTTTTTTTCGCCCGCATGCGCTACTCAACTCAATTTCGACACTGCAAAACCATTCCAACCAATAGCGTTCGTCCAATCTTCATCCCTTCCATCTCATCCCTTTTGCATATTCCATTCGCCAACGCAACACCACCAAGTTAAACCAGGGCAAAAACCACCATTCTGTAGTGTAGTATGTTGTCGCCTTCCTTGTCATCGTTGTAAGCTTTCTAGGAATTTCTGGAAAAAAAAATTCCGCAAAAAATGTCCATTTAAAAAACGACCGTATTTTTGCCAAAACCACCGTAAATTACGACCGTAATTTACGAGCCGTAATTTACGTTTACCGTATTTTTGAACCTTGGTGTACACGGGGGGGTGGGAGGGGGAGGATTGTGGGAGGAAGGTGTTATGCGGTTGACGGCAAGAGCAGGGTCTAACGAAGGGAAGGCTGGAAACACTGGGACGGGACACACAGCAAGGGAAACAGCACTCACCGCCAGCACGATACCGAACACCCACAGGTACTCCGCGATGAACCCCAGCAGGTCCCACTGGGAACCTTCCCAGAAGTCGGGATTGTCCCCCGGCATGGCCGGGCGGTAGTCGCGGCCTTCTAGCGGGTCGTCCGTTCGGAAGACGACAGCTCCTTGAGCCTTCTTCATGCTCGCCCTGCCGCCGGCTGTTTAAAAGAATGAGACACACACACGGGGTTGGGAAGGAGGGAGGGAGAGACACAGCGCTCAGAAGTCGGGGTTGTCCCTTGCATGGGCGGGCGGTAGTCGCGGCCGGCTAGGGGGTCGTCCGTTCGGAACACCACGGCTCCTTGAGCCTTCTTCATGCTCGCCCTGCCGCCGGCTGGTGAAGGGGAGATAGACGCACACGAGAAGGGGCTTTTGAGTCAGAAGGCCGGGGTTGTCCCCAGGCATGGGCGGGCGGTAGTCCCAACCGGCTAGCGGGTCGTCCGTTCGGAACACCACAGCCCCTTGAGCCTTCTTCATGCTCGCCCTGCCGCCGGCTGGAGAAATGGGGGTGCGTGCAAGGGAGACAGAGGGGCGAAGAGAATGAAAGCAAGCAGACGCATGGGCGGGCGGTGCGGTGGTCACGTCCCGACCAGCTAGCGGGTCGTCCGTTCGGAACACCACAGCCCCTTGAGCCCTCTTCACGCTCGCCCTGCCGCCCGCTGGTGAAGTGAAGGGAATTAGGGTTAAAGTAACAAGAGCCAAGGCACACAGAGACACGGGGAGGAAGGGGCGGTGGGAATCGTGGACTCTCTGCCGCTTGTCGCAACAAGCTGGCGGGTCGTCCGTTCGGAACACGACGGCGCCTTGCGCCTTCTTCATGCTCGCTCTGCCGCCCGCTGGTGAGGGTGAAGGGAAATCGCGTAGGGAATGGATACACAGGAGTACGGGGAGGTAAATGTACACGTTGGAGGGGAGGGGGCGGCGGTTGAGTGGACTTCTGGCCAGACTCAGAAAGTGACTTCACTTTCTAGAAGACACATGCGACCCACTTCATCCTCGCTCGCTTAGCCTTTCTAGGCACCTCAAAGTTTCGGATGTGCCTCAAATTTCTTAGTAGTGCCTCGAAAGTTCATGCCCGCTCGCCCTGCCCCCGGCTGGTAAAGGTGAGGAGGATCCCCGGGGAGGGGAAGACACGTGAGGGAGGGACGATGGGTGGGAACCGTCGATTTGCTGTCAGAGAGATTTCATTAGCTGATCAATTTGCTTCTCATGCTATTCCGTTCTGAAAAGGACGATGCGATCTTTCACCATGCGCATGATGCGATCTTGACGCACGCGCAGATTTTTCTCCCGTAAATCGGGCCCGCGAAGGGAGGAAAAATACGCACACACACGGGACGCGAGGAGGGACGGGAACGACTGCCGCCTTGTTGTTGTCTTGGTGTTCCACACACAACCGGCTAGCGGGTCATCAGTTCGAAATCACGACGGGGCCGGTGGCCGTCTTGACGGTCGGCAAGTACATGCAAGGATGGAAGGACCGCAAAATGCGTTGCCTTTTATCAAACAGGTGCTGTCCGTTCAGCCAGACCACAGCGCTTGGAGCATCGCTCCCTGAAACCACTTAGCTTATCAAATGTCCATGATCTTTAACCCCTTCTCGCCACTTGGTTACATTCGTTACACTGGTTACGTTGCTTCCACTAGCAGGAGGACTAGTACCTGCAGCGAAGAAAGATCGTCGCTTGCAGTCTGAAAGCGACGAAGGTTTAGAGACTATTCGTGACTATCAGTTGTCGCGATTCGTTTGTGCCAACTGGTCGTGCGACGCGAAGCCACATAACGAGGCGAATCGTACACCTAACCAGCTCTCTGGATTTCGTTTCAGAAGTCGAAATTAGTGATCTGCATGCAAGCATAGACTTGATAAAAGGAGCACTGAGCGACGCGATTCTTCATTTGTTTGTTCATTTTGACTTTTGAACACCCGCATTGGATGCTCAGGCTGGGGATCGAGGCCGCGAGTCACAAATGTACTCCGCAAAGACTTATATCCGAGCCGTTGACCCCCAACAGCCATTGGTTCTGAATGATGGGGAACTATCCGATCTACATACGGCGATCTACAGAATGCAGACGGGCCGCTACCCGATGAAGATATTGCAACGAGGTGACTTTTGGGACGATTGAAACGTCAGAATGCAGATGCGCTGTTCCCTTATGGACACTCCGGCTAGAAATGTCACACGACATTAGCTTCCAACACTTACGGCGGGATTGCGACGCGACCACTCTAGCAGTCGAGCTGACGGCCACATCCGAGCCGTGGACTCGCATCAACGTCGCCCTGTCCGATCTACAGAACGACGACGAGCCGCTGCCTGATAGACAGACGGACGGCACTGAGGCTCTCGATAGGCACACTGCTTGCGAGGCCATGGCGATAAAATTCGGAACCGAAGTCCGAAACTGCAGAACCTAAAAGAGACGAGTGTTTGACCTTAGGGCTGGACCTCTATTAAGCACAGCACCGCCGAAGGAAATTGCTGTGAGTGAAGCAGAGAGTGAGGGTTTTTATACGGGCCGTCACAAAACATTTCGGAGTTATCACGAGCAGTCATATGTTCCGCCAAATCTATCACGGACAGTCACAAAATCTGCCAAATCTATCACGAACCATCACACGGGTATCACCCGCCGTCACTCAAAGGCACTAATTTCTATCACGGGTAGTCACACTCGAAACTTTGCTATCACAGATGAACCCTCTCATCATTTCGTTGACCCGCCCTGAAACACTGTACGCAAATTTTATATTTCTTCATACAAAATCCGAAATATAGTCCCTAAATCTGTACAGTGTTTCAGTGCGGGTCAACGAAATGATGAGAGGGTTCATCTGTGATAGCAAAGTTTCGAGTGTGACTACCCGTGATAGAAATTAGTGCCTTTGAGTGACGGCGGGTGATACCCGTGTGATGGTTCGTGATAGATTTGGCAGATTTTGTGACTGTCCGTGATAGATTTGGCGGAACATGTGACTGCTCGTGATAGCTCCGAAATGTTTTGTGACGGCCTGTATAAAAACCCAGAGAGTGAAACGACGTGCCCCAGATGCTGGTTTTTGTTCTGTCTCTATTGTAACCGATCAAAACATTATGTATTACGCTTTACAATTCGCAAAACCATTGTCAACCGCAATCGTTCGTTTAACATGCCTGCGAAGGTGAGGAGAGAAAGAATGAGGGGACAACGAAGGTGCTACCGGGTAATGCCTACAATGTCGCAAAAAAGAGCAGGGTCCGTAAGTTCGCAGAAGGATTTGCGAAGAATCACGAAACGTGACTGAGCGAAACAAACTCTTCGTCCCTCTTGCCCAGCAAGGAGCAATCACGCCATCCAATCAGAGGTAGCAGCCACATGGAGGTGTCCAGTCAGCAACTTTGTCCACGTGGGATCACCATGATAGTCGCCCGCCGTGCTGGTTCTACACTCGATATAGACCACTCGGTAATAAGTGTAGAACCACAAACAACCAAATAGAGGTTATTCATTTTCTCACGCTAAATAGATGTACAAGCATTTAGATAATCAATGCTGGTGAAGAGCAAGTGCTTCGCAGATGCGATGCTTGCCTTAGCAAACAGCCGCATGTCTGCAATTACCAGTACAATAGATAGAGAGCAACATCATTTTTTTCTTCTAGACAACTTTCCAAGTCTAATGTGTCACTCTTCTAGAGCGAGAGGGAGGGGAGACGGCACGAGGCGCAAGGATGGGAGGGAGAGGAGGAGAGGGTTCCCTAGCAATTGATGGGTCTATAGGTGGGAGGGGAAGGCCTGAGGATGATGAGGATGAGGCACTTTGAACAGGCGCAAAGAGTGCTGATGGCGTGAACACAGATGATTGGGCAAGCGCTGGGAGGGGGGCGATGGGAGGGTGGGAATGGGAATGTAGGGGTTGTGCGGAGGCAGACAGGGGGAGGGAAAGAAGGGCCCGTAAAAGGAGATGAGACGATTGAAACAGTCGCAAAGAAAGTTGATGGTGTGAACACAGATGATTGGGCGAGAGCTTGGAGGGGGGCGATGGAAGGAAGGTGGGAAGTAGGGGTTGTGCGGGGGCAGACGGGAAGAGGGAGCGATGTGGAGGGGAAAGGACAAAGAGGAGAGAGTTGGGAGTGAATGTTATGAGTGAAATGTATGGGAAGGGGCAATTGGAGAACGAAGAAGATTGCTTCAGAAACTGAATGAAAAAGACAGCGAGAGGTTGGGCTGATACTGGCGAAGAAAGAGCAAATCAAATGGCAACCGCAACAAAGCTATTTGGAGGGGAAACTTGAGTTGATGGGCGAAAAAACAATGGCAACATATCCAATGCAAGTGAGGGTGCGTGACAGGTGTGGGGCGTGCATGTGAGGTGGCGTGCATGTGAGATGACATAGATGTGAGATGGCGTGCATGTGAGATGGCATAGATGTGAGATGGCGTGCATGTGAGATGGCATAGATGTGAGATGGCGTGCATGTGAGATGGCATAGATGTGAGATGGCGGGTGTGTGATGTGAGATGTGCGGCGTTTTGAGACGTCTCAAAACATCTCTTTTATCACGTGATGTGAGATGGCATACATGTGATGTGAGATGTGCGGCGTACATGCAAGAGAGGGCAGCAAAGGCAGGCCATGATGGTGCTGCTGTTGCTGCTGGTGCTGCTGCTCTTGCTGGGCGGCATGATCTGTCTTATCTGATTGTTGTTCCCTGCATGTGCTGCGAAAGCGGAGGTCCCTCTTCAATGCGGGTCTGGTGGGAACAGAGCAAGAAGGAAACGGGGTAATGTATGTAGGGGTATGATGTGGGCGATGCGAGCGATGGGGTAATGCATGTAGGGGTATGATGTGGGAAATGGGGCAATGTATGCAACAGAAATCAGAGGTGATATGAAACACGGAGCAGAGCACATGGAAGGTCCCTCCTCATTGTCTCGATGCGGGTCTGGTGGGAACAGAGCAGGAGAGCAACGGGGGTATGTGGGGGTATGTGGGCAAGCAACGGGGCAATGTGTGCAACAGAAGCATGGAGCAGAGCACATTGAAGGTCCCTCCTCATTGTCTCGATGCGGGTCTGGTGGAAACAGAACAGGAGAGCGTACACGAGTATGTGGCGGTATGTATGGGTATGTTGGGGTATGTATGGGTATGTTGGGGTATGTTGGGGGTATGTATGGGTATGTTGGGGTATGTTGGGGTATGTATGGGTATGTTGGGGTATGTTGGGGGTATGTATGGGTATGTTGGGGTATGTTGGGGGTATGTATGGGTATGTTGGGGTATGTTGGGGGTATGTATGGGTATGTTGGGGTATGTTGGGGTATGTATGGGTATGTTGGGGTATGTTGGGGGTATGTATGGGTATGTTGGGGTATGTTGGGGGTATGTATGGGTATGTTGGGGTATGTTGGGGGTATGTATGGGTATGTTGGGGTATGTTGGGGGTATGTATGGGTATGTTGGGGTATGTTGGGGGTATGTATGGGTATGTTGGGGTATGTTGGGGGTATGTATGGGTATGTTGGGGTATGTTGGGGGTATGTATGGGTATGTTGGGGTATGTTGGGGGTATGTATGGGTATGTTGGGGTATGTTGGGGGTATGTATGGGTATGTTGGGGTATGTTGGGGGTATGTATGGGTATGTTGGGGTATGTTGGGGGTATGTATGGGTATGTTGGGGTATGTTGGGGGTATGTATGGGTATGTTGGGGTATGTTGGGGGTATGTATGGGTATGTTGGGGTATGTTGGGGGTATGTATGGGTATGTTGGGGTATGTTGGGGGTATGTATGGGTATGTTGGGGTATGTTGGGGGTATGTATGGGTATGTTGGGGTATGTTGGGGTATGTATGGGTATGTTGGGGTATGTATGGGTATGTTGGTATGTGGGGTATGTTGGGGGTATGTATGGGGTATGTTGGGGTATGTATGGGGTATGTTGGGGTATGTATGGGTATGTTGGGGTATGTTGGGGTATGTATGGGTATGTTGGGGTATGTTGGGGGTATGTATGGGTATGTTGGGGTATGTTGGGGGTATGTATGGGTATGTTGGGGTATGTTGGGGGTATGTATGGGTATGTTGGGGTATGTTGGGGGTATGTATGGGTATGTTGGGGTATGTTGGGGGTATGTATGGGTATGTTGGGGTATGTTGGGGGTATGTATGGGTATGTTGGGGTATGTTGGGGGTATGTATGGGTATGTTGGGGTATGTTGGGGGTATGTATGGGTATGTTGGGGTATGTTGGGGGTATGTATGGGTATGTTGGGGTATGTTGGGGTATGTATGGGTATGTTGGGGTATGTTGGGGGTATGTATGGGTATGTTGGGGTATGTTGGGGTATGTATGGGTATGTTGGGGTATGTTGGGGGTATGTATGGGTATGTTGGGGTATGTTGGGGTATGTATGGGTATGTTGGGGTATGTTGGGGGTATGTATGGGTATGTTGGGGTATGTTGGGGTATGTATGGGTATGTTGGGGTATGTTGGGGGTATGTATGGGTATGTTGGGGTATGTTGGGGGTATGTATGGGTATGTTGGGGTATGTTGGGGGTATGTATGGGTATGTTGGGGTATGTTGGGGGTATGTATGGGTATGTTGGGGTATGTTGGGGGTATGTATGGGTATGTTGGGGTATGTTGGGGGTATGTATGGGTATGTTGGGGTATGTTGGGGGTATGTATGGGTATGTTGGGGTATGTTGGGGGTATGTATGGGTATGTTGGGGTATGTTGGGGGTATGTATGGGTATGTTGGGGTATGTTGGGGGTATGTATGGGTATGTTGGGGTATGTTGGGGGTATGTATGGGTATGTTGGGGTATGTTGGGGGTATGTATGGGTATGTTGGGGTATGTTGGGGGTATGTATGGGTATGTTGGGGTATGTTGGGGGTATGTATGGGTATGTTGGGGTATGTTGGGGGTATGTATGGGTATGTTGGGGTATGTTGGGGTATGTATGGGTATGTTGGGGTATGTATGGGTATGTTGGGGTATGTTGGGGGTATGTATGGGTATGTTGGGGTATGTTGGGGGTATGTATGGGTATGTTGGGGTATGTTGGGGGTATGTATGGGTATGTTGGGGTATGTTGGGGGTATGTATGGGTATGTTGGGGTATGTTGGGGGTATGTATGGGTATGTTGGGGTATGTTGGGGGTATGTATGGGTATGTTGGGGTATGTTGGGGGTATGTATGGGTATGTTGGGGTATGTTGGGGTATGTATGGGTATGTTGGGGTATGTTGGGGTATGTATGGGTATGTTGGGGTATGTTGGGGGTATGTATGGGTATGTTGGGGTATGTTGGCGGTATGTATGGGTATGTTGGGGTATGTTGGGGGTATGTATGGGTATGTTGGGGTATGTTGGGGGTATGTATGGGTATGTTGGGGTATGTTGGGGGTATGTATGGGTATGTTGGGGTATGTGGGGGTATGTATGGGTATGTTGGGGTATGTTGGGGGTATGTATGGGTATGTTGGGGTATGTTGGGGGTATGTATGGGTATGTTGGGGTATGTTGGGGGTATGTATGGGTATGTTGGGGTATGTTGGCGGTATGTATGGGTATGTTGGGGTATGTTGGGGGTATGTATGGGTATGTTGGGGTATGTTGGGGGTATGTATGGGTATGTTGGGGTATGTTGGGGGTATGTATGGGTATGTTGGGGTATGTGGGGGTATGTATGGGTATGTTGGGGTATGTGGGGGCACGTGGGGGTATGCGTGTACATGTGGGGACACGTGGTTGCATGTTAGGGCATGTGGAGCAGGCATGCACGAGTGCAATAGGGAGCATAAAAGCACATGAATACACGTGGAGTCAGTTTGAGTGGAGGCGAGACACAAGGCAGAGAGAGTGAGGCACACACGTGGATGCGTGAGAGGGAGGAGGTGAGCGCGTGCACTCTCCTCTGCATGGCAGCAGCAAGGCAGGAGGAGGTGAGACACATGACAGGCCAGACAGACGGCAGAGTGAAGCGTACGTGGATGCGTGAGAGTGAGGCGGTGAGTGCGTGCACTCTCCTCTGCATGGCCGCAATGCGGGTGGTGCACGGCGGCATTACTGGCATGGGTAGACCCTCCAGTATACCGTCCAGCTCTGACATGGGGTATGTAGGGAAGTCAGGACATATAGACGGGTGGAGGGAATGGAGGGGAGGAGCAGTGGCAATGCGAGTGGTGCATGGCGGCATGACCGGCATGGGCAGCCTCTACAGTATGCCGTCCAGCTCTGATGGGAATGGGGCAGGGCAGTGTGGGTGCAGGAGAGGCAAGAGAGGGAGGAGAGGCAGAGGGGGGAATATCAATGCGGGTGGTGCATGGCGGCATGACCGGCATGGGCAGCCTCTACAGTATGCCATCCAGCTCTGTAGGATATATATGCAGGGAAGACAGGGCAATAAGACGGGTAGATGGAATTAAGGGGAAGAAAAGTGACAATGCGAGTGGTGCATGGCGGCATGACTGGCATGGGCAACCCCTCCTGTATGCCGTCCAGCTCTGATGTGGGGCATGCATGTAGGGCAGAGTGGGATACAGGAGGGGCAGGAGAGGAAGGAGGGGCAGGGGAGGCAGGAGGGGAAGGAGAGGAAAGAAGGGCAGAAGAGGGAGGAGAGGCAGGAGGGGCAGGAGGGGCACCTAACACATGGGGTTTGTTTCGTTGTCCTAAGAAGAACAAGAGTTGATGGACGGACGTAAGTCCCACAACCACCCACCTGTCCACTACTGACATGCCCACAACCACCCACCAGCTGCCATTCCCCCAAAAGCTGCGTCCAGCCTCTCCTGGCTGTGGGATTGGTTGCAACATTGACCAGTACCCACCTGTACCCACCTGCACCAGTACCCACCTGCACCAGTACCCACCTGCACCATTACCCACCAGTATTTCCTCCTGCCCACTCCCACCCACCCATACCCACCCACAAACCCACACACCCACCAGCTGCCAGTCTTTTAAAAGCCGCGTCGAGCCTTTCCTGGCTGTGGGAATGGTCGCATCAGTGCCCATACACCAGCACACCCATACATATCCATGCACCCATCCACACCCATACACACCCATCAGCACACCCACCAGCTGCCAGTCTCCCAAGGGCCGCGTCCAGCCTCTCCTGGCTGTGGGAATGGTCGCATCAGTGCCCAGCACCCACCGAAAACTTTGCCTGTCACCAATCCATCAATACAAATCCACCCACCTACCAGCTGCCAGTCTCCCAAGAGCCGCGTCCAGCCTCTCCTGGCTGTGCAGGGCGGCTGCCACGTGGCCTCCACACGCCTGCACTGCTGCCCCCACGCCTGCTGCCACGTGGCCCACATGGCTGCTCCATCATCTCTCCCACACCTGCTGCCACCGCTGCTGCCTGATCATCTCCCTGCTGTACCGTCAGTTGTCCCTGCTGCTCCTGTTGCTCTTTTTCCTCCCGTTGCTCCTGTTGTTGCTGCCGCTGCTCGTTGCCATGAGAAGAAATTCCTTCGTCTCCTCCTCGACCCTCTCCCCCCCGCGGCCTCTGTTCCTCCCGTCCTTCCTCGCATTCATTCCCCCCTCCTCGGTTCCCACTTCTCTCAACCTCCCCGTCCCCCCTTCCCTCCTCTCCTCTACCCACCCCTCGTCTACCCTCATCCCCACTAAACGACAGTCTTAGTGAATTTAAATCACCTGAACCCCCCACCATTGCGACAGATTCTTGCTAACCCTAAATCGGCGACATCGACATGTTTACGCCTTTTGCCAACGTCATTATTGCTGCTCCTTACGATCCAGCTCAGAGGAGAGATGATCAAATACGCTCAAATCAACGCACTAGACTCATAACGAAATGCTTATAGCGAGGGAAGAGGAGGTAAACTAATCTCGACGACAACAGCACGTTCACGATGGAGGCACAATTCAAATGGAGATGATCCGACGCGACTCGGGCGACGCAGAAGCGACTCAAAACGAATTAAAAGAGTAAGGACAGGAGGCCTTATAACGAGGGTGGGCGAGGGAGCGCTAACGGGAATAAGCTTGGCAATGAGCTCTACTAGTCAGCTCCAACGGTAACATCGCGATTCGCGTCGCGACAGGTGGAGGTTGGCGGGGAGATTCGAGCCTCTGGTATGGTGCAGTGAGATAATTCGTGGTGAAGTGGGTACCGGAAGGTTAGGACTCTTTTATGTGAAAGGCGTATTCGGCGGAAGGAATCTCAACACGCAAAACCTGCTAAAGTGTCGCACACAATGTTTCGCACGAGTGTTTCGCATTTTAGTCGACACAAGATTCAGTACTCTCGCATGAGTTCGTTCGGCAACGAGCTGTGTAATCGCGTATTTATTGAAGTTTCCTATGACGAAATCGAGCGTATCCGTTCACGTCGCAGAGTTTTCGCCCTCACCTTTTTTCGCGAGATTGGGTGAGGAAGCGACGAACGTCGGAACAGAAAAAAAAATCGTGCGATGGGTAACTGAAATGCACTCAGAACCGACTAGTTGAATGAGTGCGGTAGTTCGGGTTTCTTAGTAGTAATTTCACCGATCCTAACCTTACCACCACTAGGTCTAGCCTTAGGTCGGTTGAATCTAGCGCAGCTGCTTTATTGCCCTAACGATTTGCTAACCAGCTGCTGACCGTCGGCCGTCTGCTATCGACCTTAGCCGGCAAGCCGTTACTCGGCTAACACCCGAAAATGTCGAGCGATCCAGGGGATTTAGATCGGTGGAGAGAGGTTGAAGCCGTGCTGCAGGAGTTCCAGCAGCACGGGCAGCAGGTCGGGCAGGAATCCGGGCAGGAACAATCCTGGCAGCAGCGCGGGCAGGCATACGGGCAGCAACCATACGGGCAGCAGTTTGCGCAGCACCAGGGGCCGTACCCGCATCCGCAAGCGCAAGCGCCTCTGCCGCTGCCGCAGCAGCAACCGCCGTCGCAGCTGCTGCAGCAGCCGCAGATACAGCAGCATCAGCAGCATTCGCAGCCGCAGCAGCGGCAGTCGCAGCAAGGGAGAGAACCTACGGGGGAAAGCCGTGGGGGATGGGGGGCGGCGGGGGGCGCGGGAAGGGGGAGAGGCGGAGGACGCGGGGATCGGGGGAGAGGCGGGGGGAAGGAGGGGCGGGGGCGGGGCAGGGGGCAGGGGGAATGGGCGAGGGGCGGGGAACAGGTAGACTGGGGGAGGGGCGAGATGGGTGGTGGCATGGGGGGCAGTGGCAGTATCGGTGGTGGTGGTGGTGGGGGAAGAGGAAGAGGAGGCGGAGGTGGGGGGAGGGGCATGGGAGGGGAAGGAGGCCGGGGGCGGGAAGAAGGGAGGGGAGTGGGTAACGGAGGACTGGCGGCAGCAGCAGCAGCAGTAGAAGCAGCAGAGGCAGCAGCAGCAGCTCTGGCAGGGACTAAAGCGGGAGGAACAAGGGCGGGAGAGACGAGAGGGGGGCAGACAAGAGGGGGGAACATCAGAGGGGGAGAGCTGAGAGGGGGAGAGACGAGAGTGGGAGAGGTGAAAGAACCGAGGAGCACAGGGAGTGACTATAGCGAGTTGCTGACTGTGGCACGGCAGCAGCAGCAGCAGCAGGGGCTTCAAGCAGGGGCGGAGGAGGGAGGGGCGGCAGTGGAGGGAGTGTGGGTACCTGGGGGAGGTGATAACTTGACAGGCGGCAACTCGACTGGTGCTAAAGAAGGTACGTCAAGTTGAAAGGGCAAAAAGGCTGGAGGTGAGAGGGGTGGAAAAGGTAGGGGCGGCAGTGGAGGGAGTGTGGGAGGGGAGCCTGGGGGAGGTGGCAGCTCGACAGGTGACAACTCGTTGGGTGCTAAAGAAGGTAAGTGAGAGGGAGAGGCAAGGTAGGGGCGGCAGTGGAGAGAGTGTGGGTGCCTGGGGGAGGTGACGACTTGACAGATGGCAACTCGACGGGTGCTAAAGAAGGTACGCCAAGTTAATGGGCAAAAAAGGCTGGAGGTGAGAGGGGGAGAGGCAAGGTAGGGGCGGCAGTGGAGCGAGTGTGGGAGCCTGGGGGACGTGGCAGCTCGACGGGTGGTAAAGAAGCTAAGAAAAGCCAATAGGCAAAGAGGGTGCAAGCAGGGGTTGAAAGCACGGGTGGAGGATGGAGGGGCGACGGTGGAGGGAGTGTGGGAGCCTGGGGGACGTGGCAGCTCGACGGGTGGTAAAGAAGGTAAGCAAAGTCAGCAGAATCAGAACCAGCAAAGAAGGTCCAAGCAGGGCGTGAAGCAGGGGTGGAGGAGGGAGGGGCAGTGGAAGTGGGTTCTGGTGATTTTGGGAACGGAGACTGAGTTGTGTTCCTTGCAAGAGAGATGATCATCCCCCTCGTGAGATAATCAGGAATTGTCATAAAGCCTACACTTTCTCCCCTCTCCTTCCCTCATCCCTCCCTCTCCCTCTCCCTCTCCCTCTCCCTCTCCCTCTCCCTCTCCCCCTCGTGCGCTATCTCCCTCCCCGCCACCAGTCTCCCCGTTCTTCCCATCAGGTTCGCTGCAATTCCTCCAAGACCCCCTCTGGGCCTTCACCAAGCCAATTTTCCTCCTGTTCCATCGATTCTCCCCCACTTTCCCTCCCTCACATTCTACTCTTTCCTCCCCCGCCACCAGTCTCCCCGTTCTTCCCCTCGGGCTCGCTGCAAATTCTCCAGGACCCCCTCTGGGCCTTCACCAAACCAATTTCCCTCTCTTCCCATCGCCCACCTCCCTCTTGCCCCTCCCTCTCCCCTCTCCCTGGCCACCAGTCTCCCCGTTCTTCCCCTCGGGCTCTCTGCAATTCCTGCAAGACCCCCTCTGGGCCTTTACCATGCCTTCTCCTGCTGCTGCTCCAGCGCCCACCTCAACTGCTGCATATGAGGTGAGATCAGAGCAGATTGATGTGGTGTGGTGTGGTGTGGTGTGGTGTGGTGTGGTGTGGTGTGGTGTGGTGTGGTGTGGTGTGGTGTGGCGTAGTGTGGTGCCTTTGCCAACCTGCGCCTGCAGCCTGTAACCTTTCCTTTTACTTGCTGGAGAAACACCTGCTGGCTGTGCCGCTGTATCTCCAGCAGTGTCTGTGGCACTGCTGCTGGTGTCACCTGTGCAGCACCTACAGTAGCCACACCCAAACCACCTGCTACCTTCACCTCTTCCTTGGTTGCACTTGCACCTCTGCTGCTCTCTGCCTGCCCTACCAGCAGCTCATCCAAATCATCTTCCCCCGCAAAACCATGCACATTCCCATGCCCATGCACGTTCACAGGGGCTGCTGCCCCTGTTGCTTTCTGCTTCGTCTGCAGATTCTCTGCTCTGGTTGCACCGCTGCTGCTCCCTGCCTGTCCTCCCAGAAGCTCATCCAAATCATCTACCCCTGCGAGCCCATGCTCATGCGCATCATTCTTCCTTCCTGGTTGCTTTCCCGACTGTTTTAGCTGCTGTTTTGCTGTGCCCTCCTGTGTGCTCGGTGCCAGTCCAGAGGCTGCTGCAGGCTGTGGTGTCAGAGGGAGGAAGGACTTTTGAAGCTGCTGCTTCTGCTGCTGCTGCAACTCATTCTCCTCTCCCTGCTGCCTTCCCAAGTCACGCCCTCCTTCTCTACTCTCACCCTCCTCGTCGTCCCCTACTGCTCTGAACTCCTCTGCACCACTGTGAATCGCCTCAACCGCCACCCAGTCGCTCTCATCCGTGGCATAGCACCCAGGGTCCAGCCACCAGTGGGAAAGAGAGGAGGAGATATCCTGCCTTGGTTGAGACTGCTGTTGGGCCTGTTGGAAAGAAGTCAAGGGGTGCAAGGTAGAGAAGATGAAGAGAGTCAACCACCAACCAGGCCTGTCGAAGTTCCTGGGGCCTTTACTTGCGCTCCCCAGCTCCTCCCCATCTGACCCTGTTTTGGGTGTAGCTGAGCGTTTGGGCGCCCTTAACGGTCACGGGCGCACCCCAAAGTGAAAACTTGAAATCCGGGCTTGTGGAGAGTTTGCACTTAGACGCTAAGGGAAAATTAGGGTGCTCCAAGCTGACTTAGACAAATAAAAAAACACAGGATTGGCTAGAAAACGCTAAGGGAAAAATCCACTCCTCTCGTGCAACCTAAGGAGAAAGAGGGGGGGGGGTCAGGCAGAATTTGGGGGGGGGGGTCCTACAAAGGGAAACCAAAACTTTGAGACAGGGGAAGGCCTGGTTTGGGCACTTAACGCATCCGGGGAAGGGTCGAACGAGGCACTTAGTGGCACGGGTGCTGTGCGAATCTAACACTTTTGGCAGTCGAGCTGGAGCAAAAGTAGCCCGGAATGTTCAGGGCATTAAGGGCATATGCCCTTGAATCGACAGGCCTGCCACCAACCAGTCCCTCCCGGTCGTGGCAACACACCCAGGGTTCAGCCACCAGTGGGAGAGAAACGAGGAGATATCCTGACTGGGTTGGGACCGCTGCTGTGCCTGCTGGTTGAAAGTTAGGGGATGGGAGGGAAAGAGAAGATTCAACGACTGCCCTCGGACCCTCTCATCCATGGCAGAGCACCCGGGGCCCAGCCACAAGTGGGAGGGAGAGAAAAGATGAGATACCCTGACTGGGCTGTGATTGCTGTACCTGTTGTTCGGAATTTTGCAAGGGTGGCAGACAAGACCATCGCAGACACGCACAGCACATCAGGTGGGTGGCACATCAGGTGGGTGGCACATCAGGTGGCGCAGCAGGCGGGTCAGGTGGCACATCAGGTTGGGCGAGGCTGTTGGGGAGATAGAAGCAACACAGCCCAGTCTCTCTCATCTGGGTCATAGAGTTCACGGACCAGCCACCCGCCCTGGGATACCAAGCAGGATTTTGTTTTTTGTTTTCCTATCAAAACCGCGTGTCATGTTGAGTCGACAGAGAAATCGTAGGCTACACAGTACGCAGCTTGAACCGCATGTTACCTTGTCTGGAAAGAAGGTGGTCCAGTCACGGGAGGGCAGCAGCAGCAGCAGCAGCAGCAGCAGAAGTCAGTGCAGAATGTGGCTTACATGTCTTACAAGAACGGTACTATCATCCAAACATGTTCAGTTGACAGCTTGAACGAAGTGTTACCTCTTCCAAAAAGAAGGTGGCCCGGTCGTGCGGGGACAGCAGCAGCAGGGACATGACGAGCACACCAGCATAACTCAAGGGGCGTGTTACCTCGTCCGGAAAGAAGATGGCTTGGTCATGAGGGGAAAGCAGCAGCAGCGACGGCAGCGGCACCGCCTGCAGGTGCTTCTCCAATGCCTCTGAGTCGAACTGCAGGAGGTGCTCTGGGGAGAGCTGTGCGGTGGTGAAGGGGGGAGAGGGGGAGGGACAGGGAAGGGGACAAGGGAATGTACAAGGATATTGAGGTTCATGCTCCCTAGGCGGCAGCACTGGCACAGCCTGCAGGTGTTTCTCCAATGCCTCTGAGTCGAACTGCAGGAGCTCCTCTGGGGAGAGCTGTGCGGTGGGAAAGCAAGAAGAGAGACGCGTGTAGAATATTAGGGAAATGGGGGTAGAGCAGCGGCACAGCCTGCAGGTGCTTCTCCAAAGCGTCTGAGTCGAACTGGAGGAGATGCTCTGGGGACGGCTGTGAGGTGGGGTGGAGGGACAGGGAGGAGAACAAGGAAATGTCTAAGTGGCAGCGACGGCATCGCCTGCAGGTGCTTCTCCAATGCCTCGGAGTCGAACTGGAGTAGGTGCTCTGGGGAGAGCTGTGAGAAGGAGAGAGAGGGGGTAGGGGACAAGGAAGGGGACAAGGGAATGTAAAAGGGAATTGTTTGGGGCCCTAACCAGCAGCGGCACTGCCTGCAGGTGCTTCTTCAATGCCTCTGAGTTGATTCGGAAAAAGGTGCTCTGGGGAGAGATTTGAGGTGGGAAGGGAGGGAGGGGAGGGGGATAGTGGGAAAATGAGAAAAGTGGGATGCCTATGCAGTATTCCTATGCAGTAACCTTTGTGAGGGGTGGGAGGGGCAGCCTGTCGCTGTACATGGGGGAGAAGTACCCCAATAGTCGCATCGTGCGGGTGTCCAATTCGAGCACGCAGAGAGCCTACATCGAGGGGCAGTGCAAGTGAGTGGGTGGGGCAGCCTAGTGTGCTGAAGCTGAGGGGTGGGTGGGGCAGCCTAGTGTGCTGAAGCTGAGGGGTGGGTGGGGCAGCCTAGTGTGCTGAAGCTGAGGGGTGGGTGGGGCAGCCTAGTGTGCTGGAGCTGAGGGGTGGGTGGGCTGCACAGGTGAAGCCTGAACTGAAGGCAGCAGCTGCACCACCGGCACTAGATGATTTTGACGAATGGTTCGATTCTGTTACGTAGTTAGTATCTGGTGGTTTGATGAATTTTTGGATTCTGTTTACGTGGATATCCATAGTGATTTCGTCCATTGCCAAGGAGCATTTCTGGGCTCCCTCCACCGGTAAGGTAGTACAGCAACTTGGGATATAATCTAATAATCCAGAAAAAAAACTCTCATACACAGTGTAGTTATTTGAATTTCTGCTTTTTGTATATATCACAGGCGTCTTGTAACGGGCTCGGCCAAGTCCGTCCCTCCCCTTCCCACACCGACCCCCGACTCAAGCATGTGCATCACGCCTAGCCAACCACCGCCAGTCTCATCGCGTCGCATCCTTCAGATTGCTCATCCTAGATCATTACAGAAATCGCACGGCTGTCCTTAATTCTGGAGCGTGAGCCTTTTGATCGCCATACTCTCCTGAGTCTAGCCGTCGATGCAGGTGACACGAGCGCGCACAGGTCAGAATGCGAAACGCCACGTGTACCAAGCCTGCCACGCTGCATGCTCTATCGGTCACACTGTGCGAGATCGATAGCTCAAATCGATCGTTCATAGATCAACTAGGTTCGTCACGCCTCGTGCATGCCAAATACAGATTCACTTTTCAACATACAGCCCATCCCATCAAGCCCCAAGCCCCATCAGATTCCATCAAACGCAACGCTGACTCGCACACAGTTCAGTCGGTCTCCACGCCTCGTGCATGCTGTTTCCTTACCCCCTCACGCCTAGCCCGGGATTCTCACGCCTACTACCCCCACCCGAAGCTTGCTTCCCATGCCGCTCTCTCAGAAACCAGCGACTGTATGGCCGTCGATCACGCGGACGGCGAAATGGCCTTGGATTTACCACATTTTGCGAGAAACTTTGCGAAAATCCCGCGAGACGGTAGCACGGCGTCATACGAACAGGTAATCCAGCCAGGAGTAACGCGAGGTCACCATCCCACTCGCTCCCTTTTCCACACATCCTGCATCCCTTGGCTCCTCAAGGTAGTTCTCCCTCTCCAGGTAGTTCAGTCTGCCGTTTTCTCCCCGGGACAAAAACCCCTTGCTCTCATCGTGCGCTTATGTTTTTCCTTGTAATTTGTTTGCTTTTTTTTTTTTTTCCATTTCTACTCTTGCTGCTGCGATCTCTGACGTGCCGTTCTCGCTGCTCAAGCTAGCTGCTGCTGGTTGCTCCTGTTTCCTCTCCTCATTCTAACGCTCGCTGCTGCTTCCTGCTCCATCTCGTTCTCCCTCGGTCTCTTGTTTCTCACGGTCGATGCTGCTCAGCCGATACCTAACTGACTGACGCCCATGGGTCGGACGGTGGGAGTGGTGGTGGCGGTAGCAGGGCTGGTAGCAGCTCTGCTTGCCACGTGGCTCACCAGATGGATGCTCGCGGTGGTTCCGAATGATGAATTGCACACCAGCAAGCACATGCAGACTGTATGTTACCGTCATATGCTTCTTGTTGCAACCCTTTGTACTCTTTGCCGGTTAAAAATATGTGTACACCCGATTCTACACCTGTCATGAGCTTCGTCTAAGCTTCACTTACACTTGAATATTCGACTTATGTCATGTCGTTCCAGCCTTTCAATACTCACCGTCACTGCATCATGCACTAGCTTACGCTCTCTGGTGCAAGAAGCCAAGCCATTAACATCAATCAACCTTGATCCTATTGCCTCTGCAGCTCCCTCAGCTGGCAAATAGCTCTGCGCGAGCACCCGAGCCATTGGAGCATTCATTTATGATCACACCATGCGTTGTTCCAATCCCAACCCAACCTCCTATTGCCTCTTGCCCCTTGCAGCTCCCTCAGCTGGCAAACATCTCTGCGCGAGCACCCGAGCCTTTGGTACAAGAAGCCAAGCCTTTGTTGGGCCTTCCTGGTGTAAGTTGAAGCTGTGTTCAATGAATCAAGTGCTATATGATCATGGCTTATAAACATGATAGAAATGTATGTGAACTGTGTAGTTGGCCAGGCTCCGCTCTCACCCTAACATCATGGCTTATACCATACATGATAGCGCATCATGATTGAAGAAGGGTTTTGAGACGTCTCAAAACCCTTCTTCAATCACATACATGATAGCGCATCATCTTCCATGATTTGGTTCATGGCAAGTAACCAATTATGCGTGGCAGAATTACTAAATGACTGACAGCCGATTTCGCCACTACGAGATCTGCCAATCTTGCCACTTTTCATTTTTCACATGTCTTTTCGTATAGCATTTGTGTAGCCAGTGCACCATGTGCATCGTTGAAATGAAATCTTGTCGTTGCTCCTGCTCTCCTCCCACTCTGCCCTCCAAGTGCAACTCTCCTCTCAGCCCACAGGCAGTACCACACAACCTGGTGCCAAGACACTCTTATCCTACCTTCAACATGTTTGTTACTCGACCATGGCTCTTCGGCCGCTCTTTATTTTCTTCAGTTTCTGATTCTGCATGCATGTGCCATCTTTCATCCCAGCCCACAGACAGTGCCACCCACCTTGGTGCCAAGACACTCTTGTCTTACCTTCAACATGTTTATTACTCGATCATGGCTCTTCGGCCTTTCAAGGAGCCGTTATCTTTCCTTCAGCTTATTCGTCACGCGCGCACGGCCTATCATGTTCTGGTGGTACGTGAATGTGGATTCTGTTTATGTCTCTATTGGCAGGGTTGTCGCTTTTCTAGTCTGTTTGAATGTGAGTAGAAAGCCAAACGACCCTTTCAGTGCAGCATTCAACACCTGCAGGAGAGAGCGTATGTTGATTTTCTACTTACAGACATGTAGCTCAGCTGGTGGTGGGTAGAGGTTCCGCTGTTGTGGCACCCCTTGGCTGTGTGCTTCCAAAGCCTTAGTTCTCCCTTGCTGCACACAGGTATATATTGTTTTTGCATTCCTATTGTTCGCACGTCCCTCATGCAAGTGAGCTGCACACATTGCTCTAGGAGCGACCCTTTTTTTTCCTTGGATCTACACTTTGTTTCTTTGCAGGTTTCCGTTTTCTGCATAGCCGGCGCTACTGTCTGTGCTCTAGCAGGCGTGCACGTCTTTCATTGTATTCGAAACAAGGTCTTCACACTTGAGCCCTTCATCATGAGGCAGACAGTTAAGGAGGTTGAGCCAGAGGGGGCAGGCAACGAGCGAGGGTGGAATGGAGAGGTGGGGAGGAGGAGCAGTGAGGAGGGGAATAGTGAGGTGCATGAGTTGAAGGGTGAGTTGAAGGATGAGTTGAAGAATGTATCAGCTGCCATCTTTGCTGTTGTGGAGAAGGAGAGGGTAGTGGGAGCGCTGGAGCGTGAGTTGGGTGAGCTGAAGTGCCGCTTGCTTAAGGTGGAGAGTGAAAAGGAAGCGGCGGTAAAAGTGGCTGCAGAGCAGGCTGCTGCGGAGAAGGTGGGATCAATGGAGCGTGAGTTGGGTGAACTGAAGAAGCATTTGCTGAAGGTGGAAGGTGAAAGGGAAGCCGCGGAGCAGGCAGCTGCGGAGAAGGTGAATGACTTCGCGGGGGCAGTGGAGCGTGAGTTGGGTGAGGTGAAGAAGCATTTGCTGAAGGTGGAGGGTGAACAGGCAGCTACGGTGAAAGTGGCTGCGGAAAAGGCAGATGCAGAGAAGTTGAATGAGTTGGTTGGAGCAGTGGAGCGTGATTTGGGTGAGGTCAAGGGCCGTATGATTAAGGTAGAGGGTGAAAAGGCAGATGCAGAGAAGGTGAATGATTTGGAGAAAGTGACGCGGGAGGGTTTTGCAGCAGTGAAGGGAGAAGTTGCAGCAGTGAAAGAGAAAGTAGCAGCAGTGGAAGGGGAGTTGGCTGTTCAGAAGGTTCGTCTGTTAGAATCAGAGGCAGCAAGGGATGAGGGCTTAGCAGCAGTGAAGGGAGAACTTACCTCAGTGAAAGTTGAAGTGGTAGCAATGAAGGGAGAAGTGGCAACAATGAAAGAGAAAGTAGCAGCAGACTAACCAGAAAGTCCGTCAGTTGTAATTGGAGGAGGAGAAGAAGGCTGCGGAAAGGGTGGCGCATGAAAGGGTGAAACGCGACGCAAAGCGGGCCCCTAATGAAGCTGCAGTGCGCAAGATATTGGAGCAGCCTGGTCCGATCACCAAGGAGCAAGTGGAGGAGTGCAGGCCTTCTTGATTCATGAGCGAGAAACACGCACACGACTCGTGAAGCTTGCGAAGAGGGAGTTGCATGACGCAAGCGTAGGAGTGTTGGCCGTTGTGACCGTCGTTAACCGACTCAAAACCGCGTGTAATGAGTTGAGAAGAGGCAGGCGGTGCAGAAGACGAGGGGAGCTGGGATTGGTGACTCGGTAGCGGCGAATGGCTCGTATTGTACAGACTTGTATAGCGGATGCTGACCTGAATACAAGAAAGGATGTGGCAGCGAGTTTAGGGTTTAGGGGTGCATCTGTGGAGAGGATCAAGTTCAGTGCCTGTAGGGGGTGACATACCACAACGGTACTACCAGTACTAGACCTATGGCTTGTATGGTGTATAAGGTGGGCTTGAGTTTAACGATATATGTGTTGGCAACAAATAAGGTAATCTATGAAAAGGGCCAGGGAAGGAAGTTACGGGTACAGACGCGGAAAGTAACTGGGTTGTTGTGCACGCAAGGTCTGGTCTGGATCAACCAAGTATTATTATGAGGGTGGTTTTGGTTTTGAAGCTGTCCTGCAGCTCACGCAAGCCACAGTGCCTTTATTCTTTACATAATTTTCCGTTGGGAAGTTGATTATATAAATAAAGATCGACCTTGCTGAATTTCAATAGGTGCATGTGAAACCATATTAAGCTTGCTCAATTTCAGTAAATCACCTTTCGCAGGGTATAAATATCAAAGTGAATTATCGGGGAGGTTCATAACGCATTTCAGCCGATCACAGCCCCGCCCGCCTCAACGATTTTGATCTCACGCCGCCGATCTGGTCGCACTAGCTCAACAGCTTTTCTCCTCATCAGGTGATTTCTTCACTAGCTAATCTCCTCGCTGTCTAACCTTTCCTAACTTCCTCCCATTCAAGTCCGTCTCGGTCTTGTGTCTGCGCAGGGCTTTCTCTCCCGTAGCTGAGGTTCGACGCTGCTAGTATCTCAAGTGTGGAGTGTTATCAACGACTTGTTAGCAGCTAAGTTGTGTTCGTTACCGTCTGGATCAATGGTGCAGCTGTGGTGGGCTGTAGCGGCAGCCGCAGTGCCAGTCGTTTTCATTCGAAACCTCGTGCGAAACCGCGACGGCGACTCCGATTCGCGAAACAACGCCTCGTCGTCGCGGCGAAAAGGCGGCAAGCGCGGCGGCGTCGCCGTCGCAGACGACGCATCCGTCGGCGGCGACTCGTTTGTCTGCGAACGCGTGTGCGCGTCGCGAAGGCTCTTAAATCGAATGGGCCCGTTCTCCAAGGACCCGACGCCGAACACGTGTGTGACTGTATGCGGAGTGTCTGACGTGGACTCGTGCACGGAGGCGTGTCGGCGCGTGGTGTGCGTGAACCCGCACCACGTGCCCAACTGGAACGACAGCTGCATGCGCCGCTGCCAGGACGAGTGCCTTCGCGGCCTCGCGCGCTGATTGGTCTAGTGCGCTCATTGGTCGAGCGCGCTGATTGGACGAGTGCATCCACGGCCTCGCGCGCTGATTGGGTTGTGCGGTGCAGTGGAGACTAGGCCATGGAGATTAGACTGCGGCGTGCAACGCGGGGATTTAGCGCAAGGTTGTCGGGGAGGGTCAATCAGCTATTGTGTGTTGGTCAGGCGTGTGTTGCGGGAGGAACTCCGGGTTGATGGTAGGGAGGCGCAGCAGCAGCAGCAGCAGCAGCAGCTGTGTGTTGATTACTTTTAGGGGCTTCAAGTGCGGTATAGCCGGATGCTAGGAGCATGGATTCGGTGAGAAAGGACACGTGACAGCAGCAGCAGCTGCCGGGGAACGGACACGTGGGAGCACCAGCGGAAGAAAGGGCATGATGCAGCAGCAGCCTGCATGCTTCATGTGCATCTCTTGATCTCTATACCTTGATTCTGTCAGTGCTGTGTTGGGGCAGCTTGCAGCAGGGATGAATGGAGAGAGGGAGGAAGGTTAGGCATCCCTAACACTTCCTTTTACTTGGATGCCATGCAATGTCAAATAGTAGGTTCCTTCACTTATCTTAGAAGTCAGCAGCAATCATTTTGGTTCTGACATGTAGTAGTTGATTAGGGTAGTTGAGGCGTCTGAACGTAGGAGGATGGTGGTGGATGGTTTATGGCTGAAGATAATGTTCTCAGTTGGCTCTCTCATGGCAGATTGTCTGGGATCATCATATCACACAAATAAGGTCTGTGTTGGAAACAGGGCCTATGTTATCAGGATAATTTATCCTGATTCTCCTGAATTCAGGATAGGTGTCGTGTGCTTCTCCTGAAAAAACAGCATAAGGGAATTACTTGTCCTGTAAAATCAGTATAATGGTTATTTTGCGTACTGAAACTCAGGATAACGAGGTAGGTTCAGCCCTGACGACTCAGGATAATGTCGAATCTCGCCCTGAAGCGAGATGTACTGTACGAAAAATCTCCTGGGTTTCGGGGCCAAAAGTGTACAAGGCGAACGCTTCGGATGATGGAGCCACTTGGAATCGAGCAGGCAACCTACTGCGTAGCAATCTTTCGCTTTACCCACTACAACACTTCATGTTCGACTCGATGTTCCATCCAATTTGAGCCACGATGTTCACCGCCACCTTCGCCATCTCCTTGTACTGTGCTGTAACACTTTCGCACCATGCAGCTGCCAGCGACTTGCATTGCCAGCCACTTGCAGCTGCACCCCAGAATTACACACTTCGAATGTGGAGAGCATTTCGATCCCCGCTAACATAACACGCGCGAAATATACAGGATTGTACGAAATGTAGCACTGAGCTGCCAGGATACTCTCAAATGTAGCACTGACATTTCAGGATACCTCACCCTGTGCAGCCCTGACAATTCAGGGTAGATTCTGATTTCCTAAAAACTGCCCTGAGGCCTCAGTGTACCCCCAAACCAATCTGAGGGCCTGGTTGGAAACAATCGGTCCTAAGCGCCTCTGTCGTGTCGAAACACTAAGACACAAAAGAAACGAAGTATAACGAATCACCGGCGAGTCAACCCTCGGAGGTTGAAAGTAACTGTTGGAGGTTACGCGAAAGTCAAAGGTCAGCGACCTTTGACCTGACAAAGTACAGCGCGACAGCAAGGACAAACAACTGACTCGGTATTGAGCAGTTGCCCGAGTCGTCACTGTATCGAACCGCAACAGCAATAGTAAAACGGTCATTAACTGTATCTCTTCGTATTCCTTGTACTCTTATAAAAGCTTGTATCTCTTTGTTTTAATCAACTTACTTTGCCCTCACATACTAGCGCAAGGTGGTTCACAACTCTTTAATTAATGCTTCCGCTACTACACCAACTCTACCCAGAGTTCACCCCTGCAAAAATCCTAAGGGTTTTTCAGCCCTACATGGTATGAGAGCTATCAGGCAGGGGGAATTCAACTTCTATACCGACAACATCAACAAGCATGGCTACACAAAACGAAAGGAGCAACTCCAACGGCTCCCAGGGCACTACTCCTACTCCACCTCCTGCCTCTGGCCTACAGACAGAGGAGGGCACAGCAACAAGACCCAGAGCAACATCTACCGAGACTCCCGCGAATCAACCTGCAGACTTCGACCAGAGCATGATGGAGAAGTTTTTCTCCTTCATGTCCTTCTACGAGCAACACCAGCAATCGGCACCTGCCAGGGGTTTTTTATCAGAGTAAATTACTCTGTTTCTCTGAAAATCAGAGTGGTTTTTAGGGGGTCACTCTGACGTGTCTGGGTAATTTTTTTGGAGGATAAGTTTTCTCTGATTTGTCAGGGTTCTGATTTTAGCTTCTCTGAGAGACCAGTGTATATTTGTGGCGGATGTACTTTTCTCTGTACAGGGTATAGCCATTTCGACCCACCCCCCCGCCCCCCCCCCTCCCCCCCCCCAATTGTTGGATGTGCAAACTAAGTGGAGTTATATAAATCCGTAATCAAGAAGAACGGTGAGCGCGTAGCACAACGCTTAATCTTCTTGGTAGGAGTGCAGAAGGCCTGGGTTCAATACTTGAGAGGACACTTAGAGTTGGAAAAATAGGTACACTGGGTGCCCAGAGTATATTTTTCAGAAGTTAAGTTTTCTCTGACAAATCAGAGTAACGCTCATAATGAACCCTGAATTTCAGAGTTCTCTAGAAAACAGCTCTGGAAATCCGAGTAGTGAAAATCCAAAAAAAAGCCCTGGCACCTGCGCAGTCACACAACAGCAACAACAACGGAGCAACACCCATGAGTCTCGACGGCTCATCATATGCACGAGGAAATCAACAACAGCAGCCTACCTTTGCTCCGTACGAGCGCGGGTCCGTCAGCTTTATGCCACACCCACAGCCTTCACCTGGACAAGAAAAACCACTGGACGCATTACAAGTTCAGTCGCACTTCGCACACGTTCTGAAGATGCAGACGTCAAGACCCTTCGATGGAAAGGACTTCTTCACCTTGCGTTCGAGTTCGAGCTGATGATGGAAGGCGCGCAGATACTCGGGTTCTTCGACGGGTCTCTGCCATACCCAACAAACGGCACACAGTACGAGAAGCAGCAGTACACCTATCAGTCAATGATGGCGTACACGATCCTACTGAGGAATATCACCCCGACTCAACAGCAGAACATAAGGTCTTACCGAGGTTACGGCAACTCCGCGGAGCTCGCGTACAACCACCTGAAGAGCCTGTATCAAGCAACAGACAGCGTAAGCCAAAGTCGGTTAATGGCGCAACTGACAACGGTTGAAATGAAACCAGGGGAGAAAGGAATGGCGTATATCAGTCGATGTCGCAAGTTGCGCGACAAGCTTCTTCGATGCGGAGGGTCGATCTCTGAAGACGCCTTCGTGACAGTCATCATCG